AATTTTTTTTTATTAGATTAGAAGGTCTCTAGCCCAATTTCTTTTTAACCTTCGAGGAATATTAAGAGGTAGTGTGAGAGAAGACATGTTTTTGATAAAGGGGTTAGAATGATTAATTAATTTGGAATGGAATTTTTTATAGTAGCTTTTTGCTCAAGTTCATTAACTGTTGGAAGTTTTAGGTCGTTATGGAGAGCTGAATTTGTGATATACCACGGAGCATCGGTTAAGAGTCTTAATGAGATGGATAGGAAGGCTTGGATGGGACGGATGTTAGCTGGTTTCGCAGGGCCCCATATTTGAATACCATAGGTCCATATTGGTAATGTAGGTACCTATAGAAAATCAAAATTGTTTCCAATTTCATCAAAATTCGAACTACACAAGTTTACCTATATATAGTTTTCGATATTTTTAAAAATTGCTGTAAGAACAACTTATTGAGGATCTTTGTATTAAAATAGTATCTAGATTTATGAATTATGACTAAGAAAAAAATGTTTTTAACATAAATTAAAAATAACTAAAAAAAGTTGACAATTTCAAATATCTATAAATAACTTTAAAAAAGCCAACATCTTTTGAAACATATCTCATCTCTAGATTATGATACCTACTATAATTATTTTTTGGTGCGAATTTCATTTACCTTTCTTATTAACTTTTGAATTACTACAAAAAAACAAAATCAATTTAGTTAAATACCTACTGCAATTTAGTATAAATATTACCATTTTTACGAATTTTTGTTTGCTTTTCCTTCTTATTTAGAAAAGTGCTGTGCATTTTTTACTTTCGACTCTGCAAAGTATATAAACTTGTCCAATATTTTAAAACCTACACATTCGTCGCTCTGCTTAGGATCTATATAACGATGTAAATAATATTAAAACAAATATTGATTAGTTCAGCTTTACAGCTTTTATTGTTCAGCTTTAAAACACACCTAGATTTCTTTCATTCATTAAAACTTCAAAGTAATATTATGTTCTAAATAAATATATGAAACAAATAAATGTTTACATTTATTTCTTGCAGAACGTGTTCTTTGGAGTAGGAGGAGCAGTTTTCTCATGTGTAGGTGATTGGACATCGGCCAAACAACGAGGCCTTTTATGCCTCACTGTATCTATCCTGATCATGAACATCGTAAATTTAATCATATTGGAAATCGGAGAATGGAGATACCTAACACCTGAATCGGTCAAAGATAGCATGTCAAGAGAAGGATTGGAAACGTTAATTTTATATGGTAATTATTACTGTTTTTTTATTTATGCATTATATGTACAATAATACTTAATACAAGATCTTTTTATAAGAAAGTTATTATTTACGAATCTTGTTTTAACTACAAGTAATATTGGGTGAAACAAATTGTGTTTTTTCAGATTAGTCATTTTTATTATTATTATTAATTTTGAATCTTTGATATTGCTTCCCAAGAATTGCCTAAACGTAATTTAACAATATTATTATTCGCAAAACAAGTACCTAATTGGATTTTTAACAGCAATTTTAACTTTTAAGTAAATTAATACCATTTATAGTTGTACCCTTGTACCACAGATTATATATAATTWTTAWAATTATTATATAATTATTTATATAATCTGTGGTTGTACTTTATGTACCTATAACCTATATAGAACACTTTAGGAGGGTTTACGTTCCTTCCTTATTTTACGATAAGAACTACWATAAGTATTCATTAATTTTAATCCTTTTTACTAATTTTTTTAGTAAGAAGATCCAACTAAATAATTTGCACATAAACCTACTTATTCCGATTTTTGCAATAGAAAATTTGTGATCAACACATTATTAAATGATTTAGCTATTTTCAAATAGACAGTGACACATATTAATGTGCAATTTCGTGCCTACTATACTACCTATCTACATCATATTATATTCATATTAGTATGATTAGAAAAAAACCTACGCTTACAATCGAAATAGAAAAAAATAGTTTAATAGTGTTATTACTGATGGGTAATTATTATTTATTATTAATTGTTATTAATATCTATGAACAGTATGAAAAATTGAAAACAATGCTGATTAGTGATTACCTACCATAATTATATATTTATATATCATATTTCAGTACATTAATTATCCATGTAAGATGTAACTATTGTTTATAAAATGATTACCTATATATTTTATAATCAATGATATAACTAATGATGTTACAATAATTATTAGTACCTATATCGTTAGATTAATTTTTATATTAAAAAATGTCTATATTTGTGTGTACTTATATGATACAGTTATTAGTTTGGTATGATATTAWGTTTTAATGGAYATTATTTCATGTGCTTGTTTTACAGCTCGTTACACTACCAGTATAAGCACATTAGTAGCCATAATCGGCGCATTTTTCGATTCGCAGATAACGTTTTGTTGTATGCTACGTGTGGATAAAACACAACAGAATGCAGAACCAGATAACAATTCAGATGTCGATTACATTATGCCAAGGGTATGTTTTCAATTCTTGACTTAATACATAAATTAACGATTCTTCTCGCTTAGAAAATCTATTTTATTATATTATTTACATTACCAATAGTATATATCGATTACCAAAAATAATAAATAAAATATTAAAAACTTATCAAAAACTTTTAAAACAAAACTTGTATATTATCAACGAGTAAAATATATTTCTAAATCTTATTATTATGAYCAATGTTCAATGGAAACCTAACCACCTAACTTTGCCCTATTTTTAATCCGATAAAAAGTATTTGTTGTAGAAATATATTAAAAATAATAACATAGAAAATAAGGTAAAGTGAATTCCAAAATTTCTTGAAATATATGTTTCATAAAATACAATGGATTAGAACAATATTTTCTGTGTGTAGTTCATTCGCTATCGCAACCAAATTAAGCTAAAAGTTGTAGGCCACTGCATAAAAATTTTATGAAATTATATGCGGAAATCCGAAAATGTCAAAAAAAAAATGTRCACATCACTCTAAGACATATACATTATAATACAATTAAAATATTTATTATACTCAGTTTTATCAAGATCAAAACAAATAATGTAGGTGGGTAGGTAACTCTGATTACTATGAATAATATGTACCTACTTTTGTCGGATAATAAGTCATTATTAGGTAGGTATCCAATATCTATATAGACCATAATTTACATTAAATTTAATCATCGTTTGGTTCTATTATAAATTGATATTGATCCTATAATACAATGATAACAGTTTTATGACATTGTTTTTGTTTGACTTCTCTTGCATAATACAAATAAACAATTCAGTGATGTTTTTCTTTATGGATATATTAACGTTACAATTGTTAAATAATTCAGTAATCGTATACAAAGAAAATATTGTGTTTATTCTCCATGAAAAGGTATATTCCATAGGATAGAATTTACCTATATTTATACTTTCTGATGAGTATTGGACCATTGCACAATATAATATTTCAATTTTACTTGTCAGATGAGAGCATTATCAATACCTAGTTTTTAAAACAGTTAAATATTTAAATTATTACGTTTAAAAAAATAAACCTAGGATACTAAAATAATTTATAAAATTTTTATGAGATGATGTAACGTCATTACTTTTAAAATGCCAATTTACAACACAACATAAGCTGTGAAGTAAACTGTAACTTAACCAAACAACAACTTTTTTGAGACCGCTTCTCAATATAGTATATTATTATAAGCATAATAATACGTACCTACGTAATGAGATATTCATAAGGTATCTTATATTCCTTCAATGGGTCAGCCAATTCAATGTTGAAAATCACAAATCCGCAAACTTCGCTTCATATTTTGTTTATTATCATAATTAAAAATAATAATATTCCTGATCGGTACAATTTCGAAACTTGTCTGGAGGTACCTCCACTATTTTTCAGCGTTTTCGAAAAAAATACGGTTGCGTAATTAAACCGCATTAATTACATGTTGTTACCATTATAGTAGTTGAACAGTAGCATACGCCGTGCTACCATGTAATTGACATAGGTGCTTAGATAGGTACGCCAATATTAGTGCAATG